TTGCCCTGTGCAGAAAACTGCCTGAAAGAGAGGGTAAAAGCAGGGTTCACCTACCACAGGACAGGCTGCTCGAAGTGGCAATGTTTTGATTCGGTGAGGGGGTCAGATTCTGAATGTATTTAGTGGGGAGTGTGAGCAAAAGAGGAACCAAGAAGAACTACAGGAGTTTGGGCCCGAACAGATCTTTGGAATATAGAGGAGGAAGTGGTCTGGGGGTTGAAGAGGAATTTCAACAGATAGTAAGGGGCAGAGTGGAAGTCGGATTCAGTAGTCTCACTCCACAGGCACCGCATGGAGCCAGTTTAGAAAGAAAGTGCTGTGCGGTGAATGTTCTCCATTGCCACAAGGGTCTTGCATTTATGGTCCCCTGCTGTCCCTGTCCTAACAGGAACAGGAGTACTACCTGGTTAAGTGGCGTGGATATCCTGAGTCCGAGAACACCTGGGAGCCACGCCAGAACCTCAAATGTGTGCGCATTCTCAAGCAGTTCCACAAGGACTTAGAAAGAGAGCTTGTCCGGCGGCACCGCCGCTCCAAGCCCCCCAGGCATCTGGACCCAAACCTAGCCAACTACCTGGTGCAGAAGGCCAAGCAGAGGCGGGCACTGCAGCGCTGGGAGCAAGAGCTCAATGCCAAGCGCAGCCACCTGGGCCGCATCACTGTGGAGAATGAGGTAGACCTGGATGGCCCTCCGAGGTCCTTTGTCTATATCAATGAGTATCGTGTTGGGGAGGGCATCACCCTCAACCAGGTGGCTGTTGGCTGTGAGTGCCAGGACTGTCTGTCGGCACCCACTGGAGGCTGCTGCCCCGGAGCATCCCTGCACAAGTTTGCCTACAATGACCAAGGCCAGGTGCGCCTGAAAGCCGGTCAGCCCATCTACGAGTGTAACTCCCGATGTTGCTGTGGCTATGACTGCCCTAACCGTGTAGTCCAGAAAGGCATCCGCTACGACCTCTGCATCTTCCGCACCGATGATGGCCGAGGCTGGGGTGTCCGCACGCTGGAAAAGATCCGCAAAAATAGCTTTGTTATGGAGTATGTGGGAGAGGTGAGGAGATGGGTGTGGGTATGTGTGCAGCTTTTTCCCACTATGTGTTTGTAGTGTGTGCCTCAACCATGTGCCTAAAACTCTGCTTTCCTCGGGAGAAAAGCCTAAGGTGTTGGTCAGAGGGTTACCGGGGCATCGAAGCAGGGCTCAATGCTTTGCCCTGACACATCGGCAGGACCATGCTGGGAGTTTAATAACACTGAAGTACTTCTGATCTCAGCTGGCTTCATAGGGTATATAATATAGCAAAGAAAGTGGGAACCGAGCTTTAGGCAGCTAACTTTGCAAAGCTATGTGATCAGGGCGAGTTTTCTCCTTCCTTTGTGATAAGGGTCACTGGATCAGAAACAGTGAATCTAAAGTAGCATGGAGGCTTGTCTTGGATGGAGGTTTGGCAAGATCCTCTAGATTAGTGGGTTTCAACCTGTGGATCTCAACCCCTGGGGTTCTCACAAGGCTCACCTAAGACCAACAGAAAACACAGATATTTGCATTACAATTCATAACAGCAAAATCACAGTTATGAAGTAGCAACAAAGATAATTTTATGGTTGGGGGTCACCACAACATGAGGAGTTGTAGTAAAGGGCCACAGCATTAGGAAAGGTGAGAACAACTGAGCTAGGCTTTCAGGTTACCCTGGGGAAATGCTAGATGGTACATGATGCAGACTAACTTTTTTTTAATCAATAATCCCCAGGTTTTTGTGGCTTAACACATTAGGAGTTAGTCTGCATTGTTTTGAGGCAGAGTCTCCCTCTGTAGCACAGGCTGGCTTTGAGCTCACAGTCCTGCTTCCCCCTGAGTGCTGGGACTATAACCATGTGTTACCATGCATGGTCTAGATTTACCTGGTTTGTGAACACCCCAGTGTGGGTATGTCAGTGGATATCCTGTCCATATACTGATTCCGGCACGCTAGGATTTTGTCCCCACTTTGTGCCTTTTTTGTACCTTAGGGCCTTCAGCTGCCCGTCAGATCCTCCACATTTTGTAGTAGGGGACTGAAGGGGAAGGTACTCATGAGTCAGGCCTGGAAGCAATACATGCTCCTTATGCCCACTATTGGCTGGAAGTGAGTCACTAGCCTTACCTCTGTACTAGGGAGGTGTGTGTGTGTGTGGGGGGTGCTTTAATTTTGTGACCAGTTGTAAAACAAGAGTCTGGGTGAGCAGCTAGCAGGTGTGTGCAGCAGGAAGTACCACACTCTAAGTAAGACATGGTGGGCATTGGGGTTGGGCAGTTCTTTTGCATGGAGACAAGTCTCACTGCTGGAGAGGTTTAGCTTCCCTGGATCTTGACTGTCTACATGTGTGTTTTATCATGACATTGTCCATGTATTTTCATAGGCCCCTCCTAGATGTTATTTGCTTGGAAAGTGACAGTAACTGGCTGGATGACACTTGTGCAGGTGTCCACCTGTAGCAGTGACACTGATGACTAGGAGAGGCTTCCACTTTTTTCTTTCTTGGTTTTTTGAGACAGGGTTTCTCTGTGTATCTCTGGCTGGCCTCTGCCTCCCAAGTGCTGGGATTAAAGGTGTGGGCCGCTGGTACCACCACCCTGTGAGGTTCCAGTCTTATGACCTGGAGGAAGCTTGAGCTCTACATACTCTAGAAGTGTCTTTACCCCAGAGTGATTTGGAAATAGTGTGGGATATAGACAGCTTTCTAGAAGAGAATGCTGCCAGCCTGGGACCCCAGATGGTCTGGAAGGGGAAGTGTCTAGACCCTCTGAGATCTCAGCATTCCTAGAGTCATCCCAAGCAGGAAGCCAGTCAGTATAATTGTGAGCAAGGTAGAGGAAAAGCCCTCTCTATACACAGGGCCTTATAGGAAGCAGCATCTGCACCCCCTAGGAAGGAAGGAGGCTCAGTCCCCCGAGTGGAGTGTCCTTGCTTCTCCACTCTGGAAACAGCAGGGTTGGTTTCCAGGAGCACTCTCCTCACCCCTTCCTTACCTTCCCTCTCATCCATTCTCTCCAGGTTATCTCTTGACCTCTGTGTCTTGCCATGGTCTACCTGCTTAGGTCCAGGCCTTCTAGTACCCTCAGTTTCTGTGGGTCCTTCTGATGGTGTCCTTCTAGCAAACACTGCCAGAGCTAACCCTTTTTCCATGTGGCCTCTGAAGAGGCAGTAAGTACAGTACAGTGGGTAGAGGGTGGTCCCTGGAGGCTGCCGGCCTGCCAGCCTGCCCGCCCACTCAGCATCAGTCACTCCGTGTCTCTACTCCGTGTCTCTTTCTGTTTCCTCATCTGGAAAAGAGGAGAAGGAAGCACTGAGGTTGTTCCTCCCTGGGAAGCACTTGGAAGATGATGCGCTTCAGCAGTACTTGGTAGTGCGTTAGTCCAAAACTCAGACAATCCAGACTGCTCAAAATTGAAAGGTGGTTTTTTGTTTTTAATAGCCTGACCTGATGTATTATTTTGTTTGTACTGGGGGTAAATATTCATGTATTTAACCACAAATGTTAATTTCCTTAATTATGGGGCACTATCTAGAAGTTCCTGAGGTACATTATTGTAAACCCCCCCAATAGGATGCAGGGCCTCCCTTATGCTAGGTAGTACTCTGAGCCACATCCCAACCTGCAGGGTGCTATGTGATTAATTCAGAGGATCCTCCTCAGTCTTGGATGCCAATCTTGGAGGCCACTGACACTTTGTAACAATAGTTCCTGCTCCTTTGGACCTTTCCATGTTTGTTCCATATGTTAATATTTCCACAGATTATTTCTAACCTCATCAGGCAGAGAATGCTAGCAGTGTATTCAGTGTATTTCTGAAACATGCATTCTCTATTTTATCATCTCTGGAATGGAGGTGAGTTTTAATTGATAAAATGGTAGTAATGGGCACATAAAAAAAGGGTCAACCTTAGATTTCAACAAGGTCTGCTACTTAACCAGTCATTGCAAAACCAGCACAAAACATTTTTTTCACACACATGCACTTGTGTCTTTACGACAGCCCCTAAGTTGGGACTTTGCTGCTGACATTCCCATTCTATAGATGAGAAAATAGAGGCCCAGAGGTGCCGTGCTGGAGCTTGGTCCAAGTTACAAAGCTAGTAAAGTGAAGTAGGTAGGAAATGCCTATGATTTAACCCTGGTGTTATGGCAGGCCTGCTGGCTTTTTTCTTTCCCTGAGAAAACAGGCACACAGAGGGAATAATATTCAGGATCTCACATGCAGGAGGGGCTGAATAGCCACTGACTTGGTTTCCTATTTCTCATCCTCATCAGCAGCCTTTTTAAGCTGCCAACTCCCAGGCTGTTTTCCCTGACAGCCTGGAGAGCTACTAGAGAGTGGGGATGGATGGAAAGGGATGAGTTTTCAGGGTGGGACTTCGCAGGAGAGAGGAAGGGAGGGCCATTATGCCTGGAGGGGATGACTCATCCCGGTGAGACTGGGGCAGCAGGTAGGAGCAGAACAGACAGAAAGATGGAGTGGGGGAGGATGTGAGCATTCCTGAGACTCCAATTAGAAAGCTGGTTCAGAGAAGAGCAAGTCTGCTGGTGAGTTAGAATGGCTGCCCTTACTTCCCAGCCTTTAATGAGAGGTGACTGGCATGTGAGGGTCTGGAAAGCCAGAGGTTCCAAGTAGTCACATACTGATGATACCCTAAGATTCTCAGGGAGCTAGGAGGCCTAGCATACTTTAAGAGGCCTAGCATACTTTAAGTGAATATTCCTATGGCTATTGCTTTATCCTTCAGGAGATAAGCCTCACTGTTGATGGTGGTAATGCCGTAATGACCTGGAGCCTGCTTTAGAGGATGAATCAATCTCTCTCTCCTCCTCTCTCCCTGCCCCCCCCCCAGACAGGGTTTCTGTCTCTTTAGATCACACTGGCCTCGAACTCAGAGATCCGCCTGGCTCTGCCTCCTGAGTGCTGGGATGAAAGGCGTGCACCACCACCACCCGGCTGAATCTCATTTTTTTAGATTTTACTTGTGTGCGTGCTCCCGTGCAGGTGTTCGGGTAGCCCAGAAGGAGAGGGGATATTGGATCCCTTGAGCTTGAGTTACCTTGAGCTTGAGTTATGGGTATTTGGGTTTGTTTTTTGAGACAGGGTTTCTCTGTGTAGACTTGGCAGTCGTGAACTCATGTAGACCAGGCTGGCCTCAGAGACCTACCGACTTCTGCCTTCCAAGTGCTGGGATTAAAGGCATGCGCCACCACTGCCTGGCTTAGGCCCAGATTCTTATCTTCCCCAACCAGACTGACCACCCTTGTGAGCAGGATCTAGGCACAGTCTCCAGTAAAAAATAACCTGGTGGGCTGAGGGTGTTGTATATTGCAGTGGTAGAGTGTGTGCTTAGTACACACAAAGACCCTGAATTTGTTTACACCATCAAAAAAACAAAAGACCACTGAATGAAGGAAGAAAAAATGCCGATGGGGGAGTCAGGTCCTTCAGGAATGAGCTAGAGTAGGAGGTGGTATGAAGTGTGGTTTAGAGGTAAATCTAGGTTTTATAGAGGCAGCTGTTGATCAGTACTTGGCCCAGGACATAGGCGATGGATGGCAAAAGAGGCAGGGAGCAAACAGGACACTAATGTGGCCTTCCTTGCTAGAGAACACAGGGTGGTCATGCCCAGAAGGGGGCAGAGTTGAGACACAGAAGGAGCACAGCATGGTCAGCAAAGCTGCATAAGGAGCCAGGAAAGCCTGTGTCCAGAGACATCAGGGAGGTGGACAGTGTCTTTGAGGAAGAGAGGGAAGGAAGAAGACAGGTATTAGAACTACCTGGAAGACTGCCTCTTGGGCCAGAGGGGTTGCTGGATCAGAGAACAGAAGGAAAAGAGCAGTTAGCTTGTATCTGCTGTGGCTGTACTGTTTGGGCACTTACACTAGGTAGACGGAGGAAAGCCAGAAGTGAGGGTACCCTGGGCTGAGGAGATGGCATTCTGGCATTCTCTGGTACAGTAAGACACCCAGAAAAAAGTCAGCAGCACTTAGGGATTGCTAGAGGGTATGGTTTGGGGGACCAGGGGAGGAGTGTATGTGAGGCCCAAGGTGAGGACTGTCGAATGAGGATAAAGTAAAGAAAATTCATCAACAGCATTTGGGAGGCAAGAGCAGATCAGAACAGGGATGGTAAAGCAGCTTCATGCTTCCTGGGATGGGAGGTGCTGGGCAGGAGGTGCGGGAGGAGGTGCCAACCGTTTCCAGCCTCAGGTGTTGGCACCAGAGTTCAGTGTCAGGCCCTTCTCTCAGCTCCTCTTTGCATTCCTTTCTCTCATATTCTCCCTTGTTCTTACTCCCCTTTTATCTCTGTCATTTTATCATGAGGTTTTAGCCTCAGCCCCTTTCTGGTCATCTCAGGATTTGAGGATCTTGGCCTTGGATTTTCTGAGGGCCTTGGTCTTCTCTCTCTCTGACCTGGATCTTTCATTCTGTGTTTTGTCTCTGAGTCCAGCTCTCTTGTGTGAGTCTCTTTCCCATCCATTCAAGCCCTTGTCCCCACTGTTGTCCAGGGCCTCTTTATTTCCCATGTCCTCCGTGTCCTTGCCATCTGCATGGCCTACAGTGATTCTCACTCCCTTGTTGACTTGTGCTATGTCTCTTGCTGTCCTGCCCTGGCTCAGTCAGTTTCTCCTCGTCTCCTTGCACCCTGGCTCTCACTTTCTTGCCTGTGCTCTGGGTCTTTCTGTCTCTGTCGCTCTGTGTCTCGGGGACGTCTCACTGGGAACAGGAAGTGGAGGTGCCTCTCTTCCTTTCACTCTAACTGCACCTTGCAGCGCCCCCGTCCACCATTGCAAGACACCTGCTTTCCAGAGGTTGGAGAAGGGGTGGGTGGTGGGTAGCCCTCTGAGGACTGGCAGACTTCGCTCCTGCTCACTGTTCTTCTCTTCCCAGGGGAGAGTTGGGCTGGCTTTCCTGAACCTTCATGACCAATCTTACCCCCCCTTCCCCAGATTATTACCTCAGAGGAGGCAGAGCGGCGGGGCCAGATCTACGACCGCCAGGGCGCCACCTACCTCTTTGACCTGGACTACGTGGAAGACGTATATACCGTGGATGCCGCCTATTATGGCAACCTCTCTCATTTTGTCAACCATAGTTGTGACCCCAACCTGCAGGTGTACAACGTATTCATAGACAACCTTGATGAGCGACTACCCCGCATCGCATTCTTTGCCACAAGAACCATCTGGGCGGGCGAGGAGCTCACCTTTGATTACAACATGCAAGGTGGGGGTGGCAAGGGCCCCAGGGGCAGGGGCACATGTGACATGGGATGTGAGGACCCCACCCCAAGGCACATGGGTCATTCAGTGGACCATGGGAAAATCTTTTGCTGGAGTTTTAAGATGTTCTTTCTGACTCCCAGCCTCCTACCTGGACCCTGCCCAAGGCTTGTGGGTTCCCATACTTCCACCCCCTTAACCCCAACCCTGAAAGACTTAACACTACCTTCTCTCAAGGCTTGTGGGAGAGGCTGTTCGGCTGGAGAGTTAAGGCCCACCTCAGTTCCCATCTTGAATGAACTGCCCCTTCCCCTCCTGACTCTAATCCTCTTTCACCTTCCTTGTTCTGAACCTCTAGATAGCCTTGTGCTCTCCAGCCAGACCTCTTCTTGATAAACTAGTCATCTCTGAGACACTTAGCAGATAATGGGCAAGAGAGTTCAGGTGCCTTTTGGGTGCCCAGGTTGCTGCTCTCCATTCCTGAACCCTGCCCGACATGACTTTCCTGTTTCCCTGACAGCCACCTTCCTCCCCAAACATCCCTCATCCCCAGTCCTGAACAACTCCTGTAGTGTTGTGTCCCAAAGATCCCCTCCTAACCCCAAGACCCCTGGGTGTTCTGGTATAAGGGGTAGGTAGTAACAGGACACTTCATGCAGGCCTTCTAACAACCCCCCCTCCTTCCCTAACTGTGACTTCACAGTGGACCCCGTGGACATGGAAAGTACCAGAATGGACTCCAACTTTGGCCTGGCCGGGCTCCCTGGCTCCCCCAAGAAACGGGTCCGTATTGAATGCAAATGTGGGACAACAGCTTGCCGAAAATACCTCTTCTAGCCCTGAGAAGTTTGAGGCCACAGGCACTGAAGGGTCCTGAAGCCACCTTCCTCCTTCTCCACTGCTGCCCTCTTGTCAAGAATGACCATCAGAGCCTTGTCTGCCTCCACTTGTCCTCATCTGCCCCAACCTGTTCCCTCCCTGCTCCAGGGTCAGGGCTGTGGTGAGGACTGACTCTGGGTACCCCTTCTCTCTTCCTTTCCCCTGTCCCAGGCCCATCAGGCATTGCACTTACAACTCCCAGCCACATTTCAAAAGTATATTTTTCACATCAGGATTCCCTGGAGTTGGGATATTCATGTTTGTCATGGAGGTCCAAAGGGTGAGCAACTCAACCCCAGAATAGAAAGACTTGTTTTCTGGACAGCATCTCTGCAACTCTATGTAGTTCAGGCTGGTGCTGGACTCTTAATCCTCCTGTCTCAGCTTTCCTCGTGCTGAGTGTATAGGTGTATACCCAGCTAAGATTTTTTTAAATTGCATCTGCTTCTGCTTGGAGCCTATGTGACCTGTTGCAGGCCTCTTGACTACTCTAACAGTATGAGGAAGCAACCCCCAGGCAGACAAATATCAGAGCTCAGAGATACCAGCGTGACTTCAAGCTGGATCAGCAATCACAGAGCCTTTGTACTCATGAAAGAAAGGAGGTCTCCAGGGCTAGCGGATAATTCTGGTTCTGCCCATTGTGCTTTTGATGCTGGGTAGTATTGACCTTAAGACCCACAGGCTCTCGGAGTTGCAAGTCTGAAAAGTAGTTGCCCAAGTGCCACCAGGATACCTCTTGGAAAGCTCCATGGGATGGTTAAGACCATCAGGAGTAAAGAGTTCTAGATGTGCTGGACACCCTGCCTTGGCATGTGATACCACTGGAACTACTAGAAGCTGGAACCAAGATATAGCTAGTCTGTAGATAGCACTTAAGACAATAATGTGCGTTGACTAGAAGCTGAGGAGGTGCCAGGCACAGGGTAGAGCACCTGGTCCATATGGATTGTCTCAGGGAAGCCTTGAAAACCACATAGGTGGAGCCCAGGAAAAGGCCCATGTGGCAGAAGGCAACGACTAGGCCAAAAATGGTTGGGGAGACTCACTCACTAGCATGTGGTGAGATGAGAGCCAAACCCCCTTTACTTGTCAGCTTCAAGTATTCACCTGGCTCCACTAGCTCAAAAGTTAACTGCCTAGAAATGTACACAAGGCAAAGATTCTGATGGCTGCCTTGCCCCCTGCTCTCCCCAATTCCTTCAGGAAGCCTGTCATGACTTCCTGTACCCAGAGTGCCCCTATGTGAGACTGTGCACCCCGCTACCAGATCTGTGTGTGTGTGTCTGTGTGTGTCCTGCTCACACTCCCCAGGCTGACCTTTGGGCATGGACTGAATCTGGTTCTCTTGTATACCCCTGAGCCCTCCCCAGCCTGGAGTGTGCATCAATAAACTGCGTTCTTGAGTCAATAAGCTGAGCTATGAGGGATTGAAGCTAGGAGCTGGGGCTGCCTGAGAATGTAGTCTGAAAAGCTTAAGTCACCTGACTGTAACCTTCCTACATCCCAACAGCTAAGGGACATCAACAGCAAGTGTTACAGAGAGCTGTAAGTTTATACTTTAGGACATGGATAAAGCACCTAGGAAGGTTAACATAGTAGATGAACAACAGTAGAAAAATATCAGGTGCCAGGAAAAGGTCCTGAAACTGCTCAGAAAAACCAAGACAGAATCCATATCATCATGAAAGACTTGTTCACTGGGATATTGGCTCCAAACATCAAGTGGGTGGGGCTGGGAGTGGTGATGCATGCCTTGAATTCCAGCACTGGGGATGTAGAGGCAGGTAGACTTCTGTGAGTTTGAAGCCAGCACAGCCCGGGCTGTCACACAGAGAAACTCTGTCTTGCAAAACCAAGCCAACTAAACAAAAGCTTCCAAGGAATGCCCTAGGCTCCAAATCACAAATACAAAGAATCCTCATATTAAAATCTGATCTCTCTAAAGAGATTGTTAAGTAGCTGAGAGGTATCAGTCAAACCCAGTCCAGCCCCGAGACGCAGAATTAAGACACTTTACATACTAAATATAGAGCTGCAGACAGCCCAGAAAATGCACTCTTTGTTGCCTACTTACCCATTAAAAGCTCAGAGACATTGATCTTGCATGAAATCCCTAATACGTCAAGTATATCACATTATGGGACTGAGGCCACCCAAAAGACATAGGTATTGCACCTGGCAACGTATCATGAATGGTCAGGGAACTCTGGAATCAACAAGCTCAGAGGCCACATATCCAGGACACTGGTGATCAAACAGTTTAGAGACTTCAATTTTAAGTACAGTCATCCCAATAGCTCTGTGAACTCACCCATGTAATGCAGATTAAAAACCCTCAAAACCACCTGAGATTCAGAAATCCTTCTAAGACTTAGGACACAGACTTCAAATTACAATTCAGAGACCGTACTGGGTGTAGAACATCAAATAATTCAGATACATTCAAATGGTGAGATAAGCCATTTGAGGCCTCACAGCGAGACTTTAACGAACTGGTCAGGGATCTCACCCCCTGTGACATTAAAACAGCTCAGAGAATTTAAATTCTAGGAAGCATATGCCCCAAACAACCTCATATCCTGTGACATACGGGGTCAAAAACCATTCAAGATGAGGTAGATATCCGCAAACATTTAAAAGGAATAATACTCAGGGCCATATAGCAACAAACATCATAGATTTCAATCCCTAGAGCATAAGCACACAAAAATATCAGATACTTCCTATGCCAGGACAAACACCCACTCACATCACACTTGGGAAAATAAGCCAAAGACATGATCAAAGACTTCCTTCTCATACTAAGACGCATGCCCATGACAAGGGTTGAGTATTATACCCCCAAACAAGCCATATACCTCACAATCATGATGGGCATACAAAGGATGCCAGTGTTAACCACCTGGAAATGTATTCACAAAGGAGCAGAATCAGATGGGTGTGGTAACACTCTACTTTAATCCAATCCATTAGGGAGAAAGGCAAGTGGATCTCTGTGATTCTGAGGCCAAGTTCCAGAGCTACAGAGTGAGATCCTGTCTCAAAAAAAAAAAAAAAAAAGCCAACCATAGTGGAACATGTGTTCTTAATCTCAGTAATTATGAGACTGAGGCAGGAGACAGACCATGTCTTACCAAAAAGTGAGAGAAAAGAGTCTTTTAACTTTGAAACATGCACAGACTTTCAAGTCTCTGATACACTTTTTGGTTTATGTTCCAGAGTGTTAGTGGGTATCTGGTATGAAGTGTGATTTTTAAAAATTTTTTTTAGTCTGTTAGAGACATCTGGGGCCAGGCAAACCAGAAACAGTTCCTAGACCCAATATCCTATAACACAGATCCACAGAGAGGTCAGAGAGCTCATTCATTACTTCATATTCCAGCCTAGAGATGAGAAACTGCCATCATTAGATATATACAGATCATAGAGCTCCCAAGCAGGGATATATGTACCAGGACTCAGACAGACACGCCATAACCTCAAATAGTGTATTTGCAGAAACAAGCGACTTTTTTTTTTTTTTTGTCAAAAAACAACACAAATTTATTTTACATTTCTTCAGATCAGAAGAGGAATGAGTTTTAGTAGATATAATAGAAATTCAAGTGTAGGCTGGGCTCCGTGATACAAATCTGTAGTCAGCTATTCAGGAAACTGAGGCACTAAGATCGACTGAGCTCAGGAGTTTGAGGCCACCCTTGGCAACATAGCAAGACCCTGTCTCATCTATCTAAAAATAAGTTTGAGAACCAAATATATCAAATGGTCTTATTTATGTATAAATGATTTGGATACAGGCATGAAAAAATATAATTTTGCTTTTTTCAAGTCAACTTGGCTGACTTCCCTCTGGAGCTCCTCGGGGACAATTCGCCCCTGTAGGAGGCCCACATTCTGTGCCTTACCGTTCCTTCCCCCTCCACTTTTGAAGCCGGCCACATTTCATCACCCACTATTTTTTTTTCTCCTTCAGCATCTTCCTCCTGTCTCTGTCTCTCTGTATCCATCTCTTTCTGTCTCTAGCTCTCTGGATTGGTACCTCTTCTTGTTCTGCTTTCAGCACTACTCCACCCTCTCTGACCCTCACTTCCATGCTTTCCTCATATCGTGACACTTGGGATCATGTTGGACTACCCAGATATCCTAGGATTGATTGTCCCCTCTCATGATACTTAATCATATCTACAAAGCCCCCTTACTATCCACGTCAGTTAGCATGGTTGCAGGTTCCAGGGATTGTGCGTGCTACCCTAATATCTCTCTGTTCTTTTTCAGGGCTATTTCCCAGAGTCCTCAGTCACTTGGAACTAAACTCTCTCATGTGCTAGTGAGTTTGGTTCCAAGTGATTGAAGACTCGAAAGATGTTTTGGTATATGTCCCAGAATGTGCGTATGTGTGCTCTTTTTGTATGTCTGTGAGTAGGAAGTGTCTGCCTTGGAAATTCATTGCTTCCTCTGAGGTCTGTAAGCTGTTTGTTGGTATGTCTCTGGGGGCCAGCTAGCAGTACCCTGAAGATGTCTATTTCCCAATCTCTGGAACCTGCAGCTGTGCTAATTGACACGGTTAGGGTAGCAGGAATGCCACAGCCCCAGAAATTCACCCCCAAGTATATCAATCCTCCAAGTCTGAGACACATACACAGTGCAAAGGGGGAACACGTTATTAGATCATAAGCAAATCATATAAATCATAAGCAAATCAGGCCCTTACAAATGGTCATACAACACAACTGAACAGATCTAAACCTCTCGGCAAACACATACAAAGAATCAGACACCCACTATGATTCTATACTCAGACTAGGAACCTCAGGGGGAAAAGAAAAGTTTAAAAAGAGAAAGAGCGCCAGGCATGGTGGTGCATGCCTTTAATCCCAGCATTTGGGTCGAGCTGGAACAGGGACAGAGTGGGAGGGCAGGGAGGGAGATACCATGATAGATGAGGACATCACAGGAATGGGAAGAGGCAGAGTGCCGGGGAGGCTCTCAGGAATCCACAAGGATGCCCCCACCTGGGAGTGCTGGCAGTGGTCCAGAGGGTGCCTGGAATGGTCTACTCTGGTGACCAGTCTAGTGAATACCCCAACCGTCATCATAGAGCCTTTGTCCAGTGACTGATGGAGGCAGATGCAGAGATCCACGGCCAGGTGCCGGCTGAGCTCCGGGAATCCAATCGATGAGAGAGAGGGATTCTGCAGGTGGGGGACGTCGAGATCATGATGGGAGGACATGCAGAGATGACCGGCCACACTAGTGGAAGCCCATGAACTGTGGACTGGTGGCTGTGGAGCCCCCATGGGACTGGACTAGGCCTTCTGGATATGGAAGACGGTTGTTTGGCTCGAACTGTTTGGGGGGCACCCAGGCAGGGGGATCGGGATCCGTCCGTGCCTGGTGCATGGGCAGGCTTTTGGGAGCCGGTGCCTGTGGTGTGACATCTTGTGCAGCCTTGGGAAGGGGATTGGACCTGCCTAGGCACAGTGTGCTGGGCTCTGCTGACTCCCTATGGGAGACCTGTATTTGGGGGATGTGGGGAAGTGGGGTAGCTTGGGAGGGAGGGTTGAAGGTTGGGAGGAGGGAAGACGGAAGAGGGAGGAGGGGGATCTGTGGGTGGTATGTAGAGTGAGTAGAAAATTTCTTTTCTTTTTTCTTTCTTTCTTTCTTTTTTTTTTTTTTGGTTTTTTGAGACAGGGTTTCTCTGTGTAGCTTTGCGCCTTTCCTGGAACTCACT